TAGAGGGGTTCTTTAAAAATGATTGTGAAATGAAATTGAAAAATTCCTGTGAAACTTGGAAAATTGCTGTGAGCCATGACAATGCCTGTGGCTCAATTCCTATAAGGAAGAACATGGATTAATGCATGGATCAGAATTATCCTTGAATAGATTGAAAACAAAATTATTTAAAATATTGAACATAATAAATGTATGCAATGAATTTGGGACAAAATTATCCTTGACTAGGTTGAAAACACAAGTATAAACAAATTTATAAAAATTGTATTATAAATGCATGCAATTAATTTAGGATAAAGAAAATCTAGACACAAAAAAGGTATACATTTTTGCCAGAACCTGAATTAAAAAAAAGAAAAATAAGTAAAAAAGAAAAAAGAACTGTGTGAGTTGTCGCACTATGTGAGTTGTTGCTGTGTGAGTTGTCGCACTGTGTGAGTTGTTGCTGTGTGAGTTGTCACTGTGTGAGTTGTCGCTATGTGAGTTGTCTCGTAACCTATGGATGGTGATGTGCCTGTAAAAAAGAAAATTTTATTTCAATGCTGCAAGAGAATAACAAATGTACCTCTCTAACTATTGAGCAACTAAAAAAAACCAGGCACAGAGGAGCAAATAATTTTGTCCTACAAAAGCATATATGAATAATATTGCTGAAACAAATTTTAAAACACAAGATCATGCATATTATAAATGACAGGAAAAAAGAATTTGCAAAATCAGTCATGGATAAATTATTTGCAATTCAATTGTATCATACATTCTAGCCTCAAAATCAAGTTTTGACTTCTCAAATTAGAGATTTTCCCCCAAAAATGATTGTCAGTCAAATTTTAGTTTTTTAAACAAAGGGATTTTTCCTGGAAACCAAAATTTCGTTTACCAAGCAGTTTGTTTTACCAAGGCTTTCTTTTGGTTTCTTTTTTCATAAAGCATGAAAAGAGGATGACAGATGGAGGAGGCCACTTCCCCAACACAGAGAGCTTCACAAGCACTGTCATGGCCCCTGAAAAGTCCTTGACATCAGACTTTTTGGGTGAAGGATGTGTTATTGGGAAGATTGGGATCCTCACTAGGCAGAAAAGAGTCACAGATGTGGTGTGTGACACAGAGGTGGAGGCTTATAATCTGAAGATCCAGGACATAGAACATGAAGTGGATTATGCCATTCTGTGGCACACAGTTGCCATGGAAGTTGGTGCTGCCTTGATTGAAAGCCATCCCGACTTTCGTGTGGGTTTTCCTCAAACACATTTCCATCTAGAATTCCATTATTTTCCCATAAAGGAATATTCAGTTTACTCTAAGAATTCATATTCAAACATTCTTGTAACTTGATTCCAGGAGAATTTGAATATTTTAATAAATGTATGCATGCAAAGTAAATAAGTGATTGTATTCAAGTACCCATTTTCAAACAGGACATGCTACATGCCAGCAGATGGCAGATGCTGTCAGAGGGCCAGGTTTTTGGATTAAAAAGTGGGTCTAGATCAACTTCATTATACCCCTGGATGGAGCTTGTGATTGTATTGCAAGGGCAGCAAAGAAGCTATGGAGTCCAAGGCTTCATTCAAACACCCAGGATAGTTGATTTGGCCAATGAACCAGTTTTGGCATTTGCAGTATGGAATAGTATCTTTGGAAAATGTATTCATGTGAAATCTTGTGAACCTATATGATGAGATTTTTTCTCAAGGAACAGGTTGGACACACAAGAGGAGCAGATCCAGTTCTCTTTGTAGTTGGTAAGTGTCCTGTTCCTGTGGCTGAACTTGGAGGAGCATACACATTGATAAAGATTCAGGACCATCCAAAGTGGAAATCTGACTTTGATGATGATAATCCTGCTGAAAATGAAGATAACAAAAAAGTTCCTGCAACTATGCTATGAACAGCATCTGGAATTACAGTCATCCCCCACACAATGGACCTCCTGTGGAATGGATTTTTGCACAACAGACCGCCTCTGGAGGCAGTTTTCCCTGTGGCACAATGGACTAAATCTGCATAACAGACTTCTGTGGGTTTAAAATTATTGGTAAAAAGTGGAAACTTCAATTTTTTGACAATTGAATTTGCATAACATACTTTTCACATGAAATAATAGTCTGTTGTACAAATTAAGCCCCTTGTGCCAGGGTTGACTGTACCTCAGATGTGTCATATCTGTCCTGATTTGCAAAATATGCTGTCTTTTTTATGTGATACATTTATACACAGGCAGTGAAATACAATCATTTTGTCAGAATTCCATTTATTTCATTCCTCAAAAATGTTTTGATATTATATCTGACAGAGATCTTCAATGCCACTAGGTTAAGATGAGCTATCATCATTAGCTTCACAAAAGTGCTTGACAATTACAGTACATGGATTATTGCTTGTGAAAAAATATTCATTCAAGATCAGTTTCCAGAAACTGTAAGGCCCCACCAAAACGAACATACAGTCAACCCCCATCTAATGGACTTGATTCGTGCAAGGGACAAGTCTGTTAGACAAAAAGTCCTTTACACAAATTCAATTACATAAAAATTGAAAATTTTAATTTTCAACACTAATTTTAAGCCAAAAGAAGTCTGTTTGGTGGATTTTGTCTGTTGGGCAGGAGGAAAAACTGCTTGCAGAGCTGGTCTGTTTGGCAAAAATCCCNTGTTTGGCAGATTTTGTCTGTTGGGCGGGAGGAAAAACTGCTTGCAGAGCTGGTCTGTTTGGCAAAAATCCCTTACACGGGAGGTCTGTTAGGCGGGGGCCACTGTATTTGACATTGCTGAGCTCAGTTGAAGAGTATTAAAATAGATTTGAGTTCAATTCAACCCACAGGATCTCAGATAACTGAAACTTCCCTGCTTGCAAGTCATTATTATCACTGATGAGCACAGATTGTGCAACTATGCTGATTGCAATGCTTCAATCTGTACATATTGAAATGGCATAAAATTTTGGTTTTGCAGAGTTATATTTCTTGAAAAATCAATGGCTTTGCTGCATAAAATCTCAGCATGAACTTGTTGTCCTCTCCAGCATTTGCTGTGGATGGAATCAGAATATATGATCCTGGTTTCATCTCAAACCTTCCAGTGACCTCTCTGATGGGTAAGTACATTCCTGATCCTTCAAGAGGTGAGTCAACTTCCTCCTCAGTAATTTTCCTGTCCTTCTAAATCAAGCAGAAACGGTGACGAATACATATGTTTCAGTCTCTTTCAATACATATGATCCTGTCAATTACCTCAGTTTGTTTGTAAATTCTGAATCCAATGCTGCGGAATTCTACCATGGATGTTATGTTCTTCCTCCTGTACATTTGCATGAGGGCAATGACCACACTCAGATCCCCATCAGGATCATCATCATCTGGCTGAGCAATGCTTATCAAGTACTGAGGGTTGCTTGAGTGTGGGTTACTGGACTCAGTTGCTCCCCCAGCTGATGAACCACGCCATTCTCCATACATGTAATGGATCTGAATAAAGTAAAGATTCCATATACAGATGGTACAGTCAACCCCTGTCTAACGGACTTGATTCGTGCAAGGGACAAGTCTGTTGGACAAAAAGTCCTTTACACAAATTCAATTACATAAAAAATTGAAAATTTCAATTTTCAACACTAATTTTGAACCAAAAGAAGTCTGTTTGGTGGATTTTGTCTATTGGGTGGGAGGAAAAACTGCTTGCAGAGTTGGTCTGTTTGGCAAAAATCCCTTACACGGGAGGTCTGTTAGGCGGGGGGCCACTGTACTTTGCAATTTGACCTCCTGCAATTCATCTGCCCAGCAATCTGATGGCCAAATTTGCAGGGAGGTTGACTTGCAATTTGACCTCTGCCCCTGAATTTTACCTGCTTTGGCCACTTTTTTGCTGATATTTCTCAATTTTAAAAATTGTCTCACAATTTGACCTCTTTGAAATTTGACTGGCAACAGATTAGGGTTGAATTGGGAGGTAACACTTGCAGTCAATATTTCTACAAATTAAGTGTGCTTGAAAGGATTTGATCAAAAGTTATGTGTACCTTTGTCTTCTGGGGATCATCTGTCCACAGGTCATCATTTAGGTCTGGGCCAAGAGTGCAAATAGAGAATGTTGAGAACTCTCTCCTGAAGTCTTCAAATGCCATCCAGAATTCTCCATCATCATTGACACTTTTGTAGCCAATGCGGGCTCTGACCTCATCACTGACCTTTGACCACCTCTCCTGACTATATAATGCATTGAAATTGGAAATATTACATATTACTGTGTACCCTTGATTAAAAAACTTGATTGATTCCAGACAAATTTGATTTTCCCATAGACTTCAATTGGGAAGAATTTAATCTGTTCTGTGAACCCATAGGACAATATTGAACATTAAAAACAAAACCTCAAGTCCACTGACTATGTTCAATATATATGTTGCTGCTGCACCTTGTGTGTACCCAGAATGTTTTTTGCAGTTTTATATGGAAGTATCAAGGATGAAAACAAGGATAAAAAAAATGCTTCATCTCCAGAGAAACACACTGCAATAGACATGTCAGCTTAAATGGAAATTTCTTGTTTCAAGGTGCAAGTAAACATGAAATATATATTTTAACAATTTAAGAACTGGAAAACCAAACTCAGAAAAGCAAATATGTATGTCACAGAAAATTATAAGAATAATGTTGCTGATAAAAATTTTAAAACACAATATTAAAAATATCAAAGGACCAGGAGAAAATAATATCTGTATCAGTGCATTAGGTAAATTGAATGCACTTAAATTGTACAGTGCCATAAAGTTCAGCCTCAATATCAAATTTTGAATTGAGGATATTTCCGCAGAAAAAATTTCAACTGAATTGTGGTCTGTTAACTGAGGGTTCACTGTATATAAAATGTGGGCTTATAAAAAAATAACTTGGGTCATTATGTGAGGTTCTATGCTGCTTACTCTGTGTCACTCCAATCCCCATTCCATTCCATAGAACTGGCCCATGGGTTTCTTATCCTCAGTAGCCTGAATGGCTCAACTCTGTCAGCAACCTGGACAAAGGCCACATTAGTGATGGTGTATGCATGGCCATTGACCAAACCATCAGCTATTTCTGGCCTCATGCCCTTTTTTAAATGTTCAAACTTTCATCAGTACCTTGCTGGTCACAGGATTAAAAATCCATCTGTATATACTCACAGTCCTACCACATGTGAGAAAAGCACCATTTTCCATGGCCCTGTAGAGTCTCTTGAAGTATAATTTCTCAGTGTCAATGCTCATGGGTTGTCCTGCCACCATGTAAATTTCAGCCAGTCCTCCAGTCAAGTCCACCATGCCATCCATTTCAAACCCTCCTTCAAGAGCTTCATAAGTTCCATGCAACCTAAAATGAATACAGTACAAAATTGTCAAAAATATTTTTGTGTGGAATTGTGAGTTTCCTGTGAACACACTTGGCATAGGCTTTTTCCAAAAGAGGCAACCAGAACTCATCAGGGTTTTCACAACTGGAGAAAAGGAGCTTGCTATTCTTGCTTGGCAGCAGGTCATCAATGGTGACTGTTTTCCATTGGCCAAATCTCCAGAAGTGGAAGGTTAGCTTCCCAGAATAGTCCTCTGCAGTCATGTCAATATCTATGATATCCCTCATCACCTGGCATTAGAAAAAAGTGGACAGACATTCTGTTTGGATATACATGTACAAATATGAACTGCATGTAAAGCACTTCTGATTTCACCCAATAGTTAACCTGACAGGGTGCTCAATGCCCAACTCCACACCTGCTACAGTACATTCAAATTCCATCATTGCTATAGTATAGTAGCTATTTACAAATTGTGCTGAGAACAGTGTGTCATCTTTTCTCAGGAAATATTTCCTTTTCCTGAGCAAACTATAAATGTCAAGAGTGGATACTCATGTAGGTTTTAGTTCCATCAATGAACCATCAATCTGCACTGCAGTGATATGTATCAATTTTTTTTCATCCCAGCAGGGAATGATTTTCCAATGAAACTCACTCTGCTCATCATCTGTTTGTCCCTGGCAATGGCTGCACAGGCTGATAAGAACCAACAATCACCAAGTTCTCCTTGAGCAACATCACAGCTACAGACACCATCCACCAAAAGGTGAGGTGTTTTGGAAAATTCCTAGGAAATAAAATTGAGTCATGAATCACCTGTACAAAAGGAATGAATACAGTACTGGAACTAGACCATATTTTGCTTTTGCTTCCATGAACCTGAACATATAGAGACTTTTCAAAAATTTGTACTTATTTATTCCAGTGAAATTGAGGATTGACATCATTTAAATCACCATTAATGACAATATCTGTGCACCAAAAAGGACTGGGGTATAAATTATCTCATAACATCTGCAGATACAAATATTTCAAGAAAATATTCATCTATAATTACAGTTGAATCCTGCACAAGGGACCTCATGCTCAATGTATTTTTGGACAACAGACTGCCTCTGATGGAGGTGGTTTTTCCTCCCATGCAACAGATCAAATCTGCATGACAGAATTCTGTTGGTTTACAATTAATGCTAAAAGTGATTTTTGAATTTAATTTGCATAACAGACTTTTCACACAGAAGACTAGTCTGTTGCACAAATTAACTTGTTTTTATTACTCATGCATTCCTCACAATGGGTCTTTTCCAAATCACATCCCCTGCAGTTTTTCTTTTGGCATCTGTGAAGTACAATGATGCAGGGGCTCCAGGGAAATCCTCATCTGTAAAATATTTCTGAAAGCAAGAAATAAATAATTGAAAACCTTGAATATAATGCATGCATGCATCAATGCTTTAAAAAAAAATACACTCACATCTTTGTTCAGAGGAGATGCAGTTTCATCATCAACTATATTCGAGTCCACTGCTGGAGCAGAGCTTCCACACCCCATCTTGGAAAATATCACCCAATAAGTGCAACCCTGCAAACCCCACTGAAGAACCTGGGTTTCATTGCAACCAAGTGTGCTTATATTGATCCAAGACTAGCAGGTTGAATGTACTGCTGTACTGTATATATGGCCCTGCTCCTTGACAACGGCCTTGTGCACCAGCAACAAAACATTTGGGTCATTTATCAACCTTGAACTATTGTGTGAATGAGTGACCTTCTAATTTTTTGTCAAGGTGGACATGTAAGATGTCACTTCTTACATGTACAGAAAGATGTTTTCTACAATAGTGCATAAGAAATTTAAAGTACAGTGAGACCCCCACATGCAGATGCCTCAACCTGCAGGCAATTTGAAATAGGGACACTTATTTTCCCAGAAAAAATATCAATAAATAAGGCCGAACATGAGGACACTGACTCAGCAGAGGAACATTTTGCGATGAAATTGCCAATACATTTTAGGCCAAATTACAAGAAACAGATATATCCAACCATACAATTGATGTAAGAAAAGTTCTTTGGCATTTCTCTCACCAAATTACCATCATTTAGCTAATTAAAAAAATTACCTCCAGCAGAGAGGGACTAAAATTTTTTTCACTTGACTTATATGAGTAGATGCCAAAATATCAGTGTACAAGCAGTATACAAAGATACACTTTTCAATGCTCCAAATGTTCTTATCAAGTTGAAAATGTATTCACTAATTCAAATTCAAGTGGCAAACAATTTTTTTCTGGGAATTCTGAAGAATATTTCTTCCACAAAACACCAATCACAAATTATATAATGTAAGCCTGTGGGAAAACAAAACTCGACTTAAGGACATTTCATCATGGGGACACTCTTGATGCACCAATTATGTCCACATCTCAGGGTCTCACTGTATTTACAATTTCCTTCCCACAACAAAAATGCTAATTTCCTCAACATGAAATCTTCCCAAGTAAAATTTGTTCCCTGGTTCCTCAAAATTCAACTTTGGTTCAACTGCAAGAAGAATTCAATTGAAAACCACTCATCAGGAGTCAGGACACAAACAGCAATCCATTCAAATTGAACATAAAATTTTCATAAAAGTAGCAAAGAATTGCACAAAAAAACACACATTGTATCCATCTCCAATTTTATTCGATTTCAAGCCGAAAACGACGCGTGTTTTTGGAAACAGCAGAAACAATCACATGAGAAACCCCTCCCCCCTCCACTTTGAAAGTATGACACCTTTTTTCTTCAGCTCATATACTTGACATCAAAATGCACTTTCTTTCCCCTCCAGCAAAAATCATCAAAATTTTTCAAAGAGAAAAAAAAAAACATTACCAGGCCATTTTGGTACAGTATATAGAAGAGACACGTATTCAAATAGCCTGCCTTATTTCTCTTTTGAAACAACCGCCAACTCGAAAACTTCAGATCTGCAATCCCCCCCCCCCTCCCCCACATCATATTACACTGAATATTGCACAGAAAAATTAGCATTTGAGATCATACGCGCCCAGCAAGCAACCAATCATCATCGTCAGTGTCCGCTTACGCACACACAAAAACATTTTTTTTGACACAATGATAGATTTTTTTGCAAAAATATTCGCATCTTTCACTCGTCACAAACACACTTCGAATTTATTCTCTTTTTTTTTTTAATGCAAGCAATGAAGGTGTCATTATTCGCGTCTTTCAGAGATGAAATTCCTGTTGTCAACTGAAATTTTAAAATTTGGGGACCAGGGCCTTGAACACATGGTTTTTTTTTTCCATTTACGCAGGACATTGATATGAAGAACATACATATGCATTTTTTCAACAATTCCCAATTGATCATCGTTACACTGCATCACGAGTCATTTCAAAACCTCTCTTTAATAAAAGAAAATGCCCAGAATAATTAGTCAGTGTCAAGTCACTCATGAGGTGTCAGGAAAGGCTAAAAAAGACACAGAAAAAGATGTCAATGGATCACACCAACAGCATTTCAAGGGAAGAAATACCAACATCATCCTCTCAGCTCCAAATTGGAATAAAAAAGGGGAAATCTAGACACAAAGAAATCCAAAATCAATTTTTCTTCTTCTATTCTCAAAAAACAAAACAAGAATCCAAGGGCTAAGACAAGCACCACTCAGCTGAGGGATCAATAGAAATTTCTGTTCTGCATCTCACAAAAGGCACTGATCCTCTTTTCTCATTTTAAAAGAAAAGAAAAAAAATGTCAAGGAAAAGAGACAATAGAAAGAAAATAACTTTCCAGCATGCATCACACTTCTGAGATGGACCTCGCCTTCCCTAAAGCTGACAAATTTGATTCACAAGCCTTAATTAAAGGTAAGTACAGTGTATATACTTGTATATATATATATATGTAGTAAGATGATTTTTGAAGCTCCAGGCAAGAAGGCAAATATCCCCTGCATCTAATCAAAAAAAGTTACCACACCGGGCAGCATTTAAAAATTTCTTTTCCAGAGTCATGAAGAAGAAAATTCCTCACAATTACAGCAAGAGGAAGATTTTCTAAATTTCAATGAATGCTAGTTTTGCTGAACAGGGTTGTTGATTGCTCAATTGAAAAAAAAGTTAATCTTGAATTCATCTCAACCTTTGTCAAAGATTTAGTCAAAGCCTTCATTGTGTAGACCTATTTCATGGAATGAATGCTACACACTGACTCAAGTTTTCATTTTGATCATGGATAAAAAGCAAAAACAATTTGTATAAAAATATAAAATTAGTTCCAACTAACTACTCTCAAAATATTTGTGTCTTTTGCAGACTCAAAACAACCCTTGGGTACAAAAAACAAATTGGGATCACAATTGCGCAATTAAATCATTGCGTTTGTGCTTTTAATTCTCTCTGATGGCAATTAACAACCCTGGTCCTATTAAAATTTCCGTGGAAGGAAGTTGAATTTATTTTCTACAAAATCCTCATCACATGCAAGAAATCCCACATATACTGTACATAAAACTCATTCCTTTCTCTGTCTAATATCTAACAAAAAAATCATTTCCTCACATTCCTAAAGACATTACAGTGAAATCCCGCTATTTATCAAATATTTTCCAATGAAGAGACTCCTGGGACCAAAAAAAAATTCGTAATAACGAACTGATCACAATAGAAAAAAATTTTGCCAATATCATTTGAGAATTGACCATTGAAGCTTTTATCAATTGATAAAGTTTTCCAAAATTCAACTTGTGCGGAATTGAAAAACCTTCAACAAATACAAATGACACTAATTTCGCACAGCAAATTCAGTCTTGCCAGAAGTATGAAGCTAAAATGAAAAAAAAAAATGCATTCAGCTACATTTCAGAATTTGAAAGTTTTTAATTTTTCAAATGGAAGGTATGCTGTATTTCAAGGATCACGGAGTTGAAAATCCCTATATACTGTGCTCACACACATATACTTTTTTTCTCAGATCATGCTTCAGTAAGATCAGCATACTTTCTAGAAAATTCTAGATCTGCAATACTGGAAGTACATTTAAAATTTTGAATTTTCTCCATTGTGTTCATAAAATGAATCTATTTCAGAGGACATACACTTATTCATGAATCAATGCTCTTCTCAGACACATTTTTTTCTGTTTGCTTCAGCTGAGATCTTACTTCAGCAAGATCAGTACATTTTTGAGAAAAATATCTGCTACAAGAGTATTGAAATTCAATTTTTTGGTAATTTTTTCCATTATTTCATCAAAAGAAGTTGGCAATTTCGGGCACCATCCTGCTGCACTTGAAAGCATTTTAAGTTAGACCAGTTTTATTTCAATCCTGATAACTAAAAAAACATGGATGTCATTATAACAAATTTCTTTCTCAGATCCCAGGGAGTTTGCTGTAACAAAATTTCACTATATGTTAGTGAGACCCCAATATGCGGACATAATTGGTGCATAGAGAGTGTCCCCAAGTCAAAATGTCCCTAAGTCAAGTCTTGTTTTCCCACAGACTTGCATTATATAAATTTTAATTGGTGTTTTGTGAAAGAAATATTCTTCAGAATTCCCTGAAAAACATTGTTTGCCACTTGAATTTGATTTAATGAATACATTTTGAACTCAATAAAAACATTTGGAGCATTGAATAGTGAATTCTCTGCACTGTACACTGAAATTTCGGCATCTACAAAAATAACATTCAAGTGAAAAAAGTACGAGTCCCTCTTTGCTGGAGGTAATTTTTTTTTATTGAATGAATGGATGGTAATTTGGTAAGAGAAATGCCCAAGAACTTTTCTTACATCAATTTTAGGGTTGAAAATATCTGTTACTCGTAATTTGGCCTGAAATGTATTTGCAATTTTATCACAAAATATCCCTATATGTTGAGTCATTGACCTCATGACAGGCCTTATTTATTGATTTTTTCTGGGAAAATAAGTGTCCATTAGTTGAATTGTCCACAGGTCGATGCATCCACATGTTGGGGTCTCACTGTGTATATATTTTAGAATTGTATGTAAATGTTTAGGAGCAGAAGTGAAAGAGAGAGAGAGATTTGCACTAAAACTCTGCTACTGGTGCTGGATGAGGTTTTATAACTAATGATACCCCTGAAAAAAAAGGGATGATACATTTATAGTGTACTGCATTTCAAGAGAGATCCCCGACACTGCGAGAGAGAGAAAGAGGGGATCCTAGCATACATAAGAGTATATATATTGTGTAGTATATGAATAATATACTGTACTGGTCTTGAAGAGGAAGTGAGGATTTTCTTTGGGATGTGCCGACTTTCTACTCTCATTTTATTTACTTTATTCTTCCCCTTCATTATACTGAGCCGTCAATGTTTTTCTTCTTCTTCTTCTTCTTCTTCTTCTTCTCTTTTTTGCAGGTGTTTTTTTTACTTTTAATTTTTGAAGAAGGAGGATGAGTGGTATTTTTTGGGGATCAGGTTGCAATTTGGCACAGTGTTTGTGCAAGGTGCTCCGTTTCTGCGGTTTCCTTTTGACAGGCAGCTTTGTTTTTCCTTCCTCTTTTTCTTGGTATAATTGTTTCGTTTTTCGGAGAGGGAAAAATTGTATTTGTATTTATGGGTTATGCTGTATGACATGAACTGCTTTTTTTTCTTGGG